ATGTGAATTTATACATTATTTGTTATTTATAACGTACATTTTCTTATTTTAAAACATGTAACAAAAATGAGGGGGTGTTCAGGGCGCTAGAACGAATTAATAGCATTCCAATGGGAAATTTGCTTTAAGATAAGAGCAGATTGAGTTATGAGCCCAGTCACAGAATGAATTAAACTCTTAAGTCAAGGTATCACTATAAACAGAAGAAAGAAGCTGTAGGGTTAGAAAACAGACAAAAACACAAACTAGGAAATTGGGGTCAGAGATCGTGTTCTCCTGTTCTACATTTTGGGACTGGAGTCCAGATACAAACCCAGATAAATGTGACTCTGATTTATCTGCTTATGGAGTTCTGTTTTCCTGTCACTTTTTTCAATATATTATGGGGCTAGTGGAAAATTATGAAAGAGCACAGTAAAAGAGATGATTGGCTGAACTGAGGGCAATTCTCAGCTAATAGGCAAAAAAAAATCTCTGTATGCTACCTATGACTCATGAACTGCATACATCTCCTCCCCCTTTTTGCAAACCAAGTGCTAAATGTTCATTGTGCTTTTGCACCAACAGGCTAAAACTGTCTTTAAAATAAAGTGTGCATTGGTTGTTTTGATAATGTTCCCAAAGCTGCCTGAAAGTGCTAATTCATCTTAGAGGGCATTCACTCTTCATGCACTGTGTTTTAAATGCCAGTGTGTCATTTACTGCCACCAAAAATGACTGAATGTCTTTGAAACAAAGCACTTGAAGAATGCATCTTGTTTACAGAATATTTCTGAGAATACTAATAATGTTGTAAACAAGGCTCCTATCCCTATACAACTTTTTTCAAAGGCAAATTGTGGCTTCTTCCTCAGAGAGCATTAATATTTTGTGGCACAGTAGTTTTGATCAGTTTTACCCCATGTGGATTCCATCTGTTTGGGCCCCTAGCTATCCATGGAAATTGTCCATCCTTGGTATAGGTTGTCACAGCAGAATTTCTGGATCTGTAAAACAAACAAGTTACAGGAGTCATATGTGAAGCATGTACTTAGAAATTTTTGAAAACTCCTTTGAATTAGCTGATTTATCTTTATTCATCTAGGTAAGTTTTTGTGCAAATGTACTATATTGTAATGTTCCAGAAGTTTTTGTGGAAGTGGAAAAACCTCTAGCATTAGCTAAGGTCCCCTAATGTTGCAGATGAGAGAAGTGCAGAAATGGTGTTCTCTTATAAAAGGAAAAAAACGGAAGTTTCTACATGAAGGAGAGGGATAGATAAAAGAGAGATTAAAGAAAGGATCAAAGAAAAGATGGTAGGCAGAATCTGCTGAGTTGATTAAGACTGAATGTTAGATACACTGCACTAAAAAACACAATCCCAACAACCTTGAAAGATATTTGACTTTAGGCCTTTGGCCCTTACTCTATGTGTTTCATGCAGAATGATCTCAGTTATTGATTTGCAAATTGCATAGAAACTCAAAGGAGATCACAATATAAATAAAACAGGGTGTGCTTTTGAAGACTATAGAGGCTAAAGGTTATAGAGTCACAAACCATTGTCACAAAATAATCCTGACATTTGCTACATCAGTATTTTTAACAACAGACGGGCTACAACAATAAGAGAAGTGATTGCTGTATATGCTAAACTCTACAGCCTGCATTTTTCTGGAATCATATTCTTTTTTGCAAGGGGTTTTAAAATATTTCAAAGTTGAAATTTTTAAGCTAAAAAAAGTTCCTCAAAGCTAAAATTGTAAAAGAGAAGTATGCCTGACAGAAAGTTCCACTTCCTCATACTTCAGTATGTTGAATTAAAAGTTACGTTATCTTGTATATATTATATCTCTAGCAGAAAACATCTCATAGGCCAAACATGTTCTAATCTGATCTGGTACTCCAATGCAGCTACAAACACTTAAGAAAAATGCAAATCCTTATATGTACACTACTTGAGAAACACAGTTAGCCTCATAGCGATGATTGACCAGTAGGCCTCAGCCTAAGACCTCAAATCTCATACAGATTTATATGAAAGAATGTGGTCCTTTATATAGCACCTGTGAGACTAACTGGCAAAAATAAGTTTGTAACTTTAACTTTCCTAGACTCATTCTACTTCATAGGTCATATCTTTTACTTAATTTTTGAAAGCTTCCCAAAAAACTAATTTTAGGGTTTTTTTTTAAAAAAAAACCCATTATGTTCTAGGAATATTATAACTGTGAAGTAGTTATAATATTTATTATTATTTTAATAATATGATATTATTATTATTATTATTAAACTTTATTTGTACCTCGCTAACATCTCCCGAAGGACTCGATGCGGCTACAAAGGCCAAGGCCTCAACAACAAAAGCAAACAATAACAATACAATACAAAGCAAAATTAAAACATAAGCAATAACAAAACATTACATCATTACGCAATAAAAACCAGGGCCGGGCCAGTGATGGGTACAGGTTAAAAATTGCTGGGTGTGGCAGGAAGTATGTTGGATTTCCGGGCAAGTGCAATGTGCAGAGAGTCTTAAACTCTAATAAAGTGCTTCTGGGACATAGTGCTGGGGGTTATCCTATTCTGGGAAGGCACATCGGAATAGCCAGGTCTTCAAGTTCTTCCTAAAGACTGCCAACGTGGGTGCTAGTCTAATGTCTTTGGGGAGGGTGTTCCAGAGTCGGGGGGCAACCACAGAGAAGGCCCTGTCCCTCGTCCCCACCAAACGCGCCTGTGACGCAGGTGGGATCGCGAGCAGGGCCTCTCCGGATGAACGAAGAGCACGTGGGTTCATAAACGGAGATGCGGTCACGCAGGTAGGCAGGTCCCAAACCGTTCAGGGCTTTGTAGGTAAGCACCTGCACCTTGAATTGGGACCGGAAAATGAACGGCAGCCAATGGAGCTCCTTAAACAGGAGGGTTGACCTCTCTCTGTAAGGAGCGCCAGTTAACATCCTGGCCGCCGCCCGTTGGACCAGTTGGAATTTCCGAGCTGTTTTCAAGGGCAGCCCTACGTAGAGCACATTACAGTAATCCAATCTAGAGGTGACCAAGGCATGGACCACCCCGACCAAATCAACCTTTGTGAGGTACGGTCGCAGCTGGCGCACAAGTCTTAGTTGTGCAAAAGCCCTCCCGGATACCGCCGCCTGAGCTTCAAGTGTAAGCGATGAATCCAAGAGGACTCCCAAGCTGTGGACCTGTGACTTCAGGGGGAGTGTAACCCCGTCCAGCACAGGTTGCCATCCTATACCCTGATCTGGTTTACGATTGACCAGGAGGACCTCTGTCTTGTCGGGATTGATCTTCAGCTTGTTCTTCCTCATCCAGATAGCCACAGCGGCCATATTATTATTTTATATCATTACTATTTATAGTGCAGAGAGGTGAAGAAGTTTGGAGACAGGTTCTGTGGTCAATGCATTTTTTTCTTCAAAATTAAGATTCTAAAGCCAGAATTTTTCTTTTTAGGTATACATGATGGGCAGGTTAAAAACTTAAAACTACTGAGTGCTATATTGTATGGTTATGTGGCTATGTGCTCCCTTATGCCCTGGTCTCTAGAGCAGCAGAAATTGTATAAAATTGGAAAAAAGGAATTTCCTACTACTGAAGATTGGATTTCAAGCATACTCAAATTGGGCAAAATTGATAAACTGTCAATGAAAAGAGAAGTATTTAGATACATTTCTCAATGATTGGAATCCGTTCTTAAACTTTATGAAGAAAAAAGAAGGGAAGTTAAGTCTTGTGGGATTTGAATGTTGGTTTTCAAGAAACACCCATTGTATTGCAGAATAATGTATTGTAGTCTTACAAATAAGACTTCCTTCATAATGTTAATAATAATAAACTTTATTTATATCCCCCCCCCCATCTCACAAAAGGGACTCGGGGCGGTTTACAAGACACTTCTTTTATTTATCGTATCAGAAGCGAACCAAGGTTACAGTTGTAATGTGTTTTAAAAAACAAGGCACTACAAGTGTATATGACATAAGCGGTACATGAGTATAAAAACAATAGCACATAAAAGTTATAAAAACAACCACTATCAACACATAAAATAAAATTAAAACACAGTTTAAAACGTAGGCCATCTGTAGCTAAAAATAGCTGTCTTCAATTCACAACTAAAGTGCCAAAGTGTCAACCTCATATGAGCCCATTTCAGCCTACTCAAAGCCAAAAGCCTACTTTAAGGTCCATGTGTCCTTAGTTGGATGGGCGGGAAGTTGTATTTTGAGTTGTTTAATGGAAGTGTGCGTGTGTAATATATGTATGGAGTAATATCTGGAAATTAGAATTCAACTCCAAAAGAAATGTGAGAAAATCTTTAGACCACAATTCTGAGTTTCTGCACATCTCTTTTAAACTGTTTTTAAAAAGTTATACTTATTATATTGGTAAATCTGGATGTTGTAGAAAGTATAGTTAAAATAGCCTGAAGCAGGATTAGTCTAAAGTGCCCAGATATAATAAGATTAGATGCTGTTTTTACTTGTGGGAATATTTCTAGAGACTAGGCAAACAACTCATGGAATGTATCTTTCCACTCCCTCTACCCCACCATTCCCAAATATCTGTATTTAAAGTGGGGTAAATAAAGATACCTCCCTCTGTCTTTTACTGAGAAACTCATCCCTTACTTCCCTTATTTTTTCTTCCTTTCTCTATCAGATTGTAACAATTTTTGCTGTGCTATTCTGTGAAAAATAAGTATTATAGAAAGTGATGGTAATATATAAAGTTGCCTTCATCAACTTCAACCCTCCAGGTACAGTTTATCATGCTGAGATGGCAGGATGAGGGATATAGCTTAGAATTTCAAGAGGGTACCCGATTGGGAAAGTTGCGGAATACTAGAAGTAATGTATACACAAAGCAGCTTATGAAATACTAGTTTATAAAAACAGAAAGCAACTTATGTAAAAAATGATCATAAATCTATTTAAAAAATCTTTGAAAAAGATAAATGTAGCACACTTTATATTTCCTTCCCTCCTCTTTTACAGGAGACATGGAATGTGGTTTCGGTTTCGGAAAGTAGTACTCTGGTTGTTGGGAGTGTACATAGCCATTCCATTTCTAGTAAAAATCTGTCCCGCTATTCAGGCAAAGCTCGTCTTCCTGAATTTTGGTAAGAATTGTGCATCTCTTTTTTGCAGTGTCTTGAAAACTATGTGGGCATTTTACCATATAGCTAACTAACTTTTAATACAAAGGAAAAAGGATACATAGCCTCTAAACCAGGTATGGGCAGACTTTCTAACTTGAGGGCCACATGGCAGGCCGGAGTAGGATGAGTGGGCTGGGAAGGATGGGGTTCTCCCCAAGTCCCTTTCCCTTCCTCTTCTCTTTTGGAGGCAGAAAGTGAAGGAAAGACGAAAAAACGATTGGATCCCAAAAGGGTTAGCCTTGGCTAGGATGAGATGGTGGATGGGAGAGAAAAGTATATCCATTAGACCCTATATTGCCTACTCCTGATTTATAATCCTAGAATCATAGAGCTGGAAGAAACTCCCAAGGGCCATCCAGTCCAAACCCCTGCCATGCAAGAAGGCACAATCAAAGCACTCCTGATAGACAGCCTTTGTGGAGAAGCCTCCAGAGAAGGAGACTTCACCACACTCCAAGGCAGCCTAGGCCACTCTCCAGGATGTTCTACCTAATCTTTTCAGTTGAATCTCTTTCTCTGCCATTTGAAACCATTGCTGCCTTATGCCCTGGTCTCTAGAGCAGCAGAAAGTCAGTCGCCGTCGTCCCCCCCCCCCTCAATGGGACACCCTTTTAAATCTTGAAACATGGTTCTCATGTTGCCTCTCTACCTTTTCCTCTTCCAGCTAAACATCCCCCAGGAGGAAAGGAGGAAGGAAAAAAATAAGAAAGAAAGGGAGGAAGAGAAGGATGGAAGGGAGGGAATGGAGGGAGGGAAGACAAAAGGGACAGAAGGAAGGAGAAAGAGAGGGGAAAGGCCATGGGGTGGGCAACTGCAGCAGGTTTATGGATCAAGTTTTTTTCCCCTTGGTATCATCTGGGTCTAATAGACTTCAAAAAATTGCTTCTCCACAAATCTAAAAGTGGTTGGAGGTCCTATATCTGAAAAAAGTGTATTTATTTCTTTTAAAGAAAAAAATGCTATTCCTGAAGGCTTCTAAAAGGGCAAAGTATCTTTTTTTTAGACAGACAAGGTAAACTACAGGTGTTTGGTGAGGCCAAGGGCTACAAAATCATCCTTGCAGTCTGTATTTGGTCCCAGCGCCTTATTTGAGCTACCTGTAGTCTAGCATTTGAGGCACATCGACCTTGCATTCCTCAAAAAGCTGTTCACATATTTGGGAGACAGTGTGAAAACCTAACACCGGAAGACTACTGTCATTAAGACATCTGATTCATAGTTATTAAGAATCGTTATCTTCACGTATGCCTACACAATATGTCCCTCATAGCTGTGGGACTGGTACCTGTGGTTTCACCTACCTGTACCTGACAAAATAGGTTACCATAATTTATTTGTAGGATATATCTCCAGGAATTTTCTGGGTCTTCCAAGTTGACTTGTGGTAATGGCAGAAATTGTTCATTACATAGGGTTTGTTACTATTCACTGTTTCCACGGTAAGTACAGGAATTCCCTTATGGAAATGGGGATCATACTGTACTCATAAAAATATCAGAATTTGTTGTTGTTTTGCAAGATTCACATGATTTTTTTCTCTTATTCCCTTTTATATTTTAAAATTGAGTGTCTCAGTAGTCCAGTGTGCATTTTAAAAGCACATAGCATCTGATTCTGTTTTGTTACTTCCTCATGAAGTGCTGATAAAGGAAAAACTTGATGTTGCCTTGTATTTTTGTTGCTGTTGACATCGGCAGAGAATATGCTAATTCCATCTAGTGAAAAAGCTATTGTTCCCTCTCTGGCCTCTCCAATAATGTCTGCTGTGCTGTTTTTGGTATGGCCATATCCTGATCATTGTGACTAGATGGTTTGTAGACTTTGCTTTTGCCCATATTTTGTATAACATTATTTTCTAAAACAGTCTTTCAATTTTAGGACTAGAATTTTTAAATAAAACTACAAAATTATGTATTCTGCCTTTAGCATTGGGCAATTTATTAGTCTCCTTTGCCAATAATAGTTAGAATTTAATAAGAACCTTTTTGAAGGTGGCTGCACAATAAAGAGAACTAACTAATAATTGAGAAATGTTGATTTATCATTTATTCTCATTAGTCATGTTTATAACCTTAAACAATCCTGCTCTGCCTAATGCTTGAAAATGTTCAGTAGTTGGTAGCCAGTATACTTCTGAATGAGATTTATATTATTACATAGGGCATCGTGTGGTTTTATATTTGTATGTGTGAAAGCCTTGCTTATACTTTGATTAGCAAGTATACAGAAAGTAAAGGAAATGTTTGTTCTCTTTCAGTGAGAGTACCCTATTTCATTGACTTGAAAAGGCCCCAGGACCAAGGATTAAACCACACCTGTAACTATTACCTGCAACCAGAGGAAGATGTAACTATTGGAGTCTGGTAAGAAATGCCATTATCTATTAGAATCCTTTTATTGTGCTGCCAGAAGTCATGGTTTTGATTTCAGTGTTGAGAGAGCATGCTGAGAGAGTGTACCACCATGTATACTCCTGTAAGTTTTCAGTTTTTTTCTATGTGTGGGTGTGTTATTCATTCATTCATTGTTGGGAGCACAACCTTGACTTTCTAAAGACACTTTGTTCTTTGGACTGAAGTTAAATATAATGAACAACACATAAAATGTAACTAGCTCAAACTGCAAGGAAGACTAGTGTTATTAAAGATAAAAAAAACTGTTCTGAAGGTCATGACCTGAAATACAGAAGAACTACAAAAATTGATTTGCTTCTTTAAATAAGATGACATAGGTAATGGGTGATACACATCTAAGAAATATGTAAAGCATCATTTAAGGTAAAGTGTATATCAGTATAAGACGTGTATGGCAAAAGTTTGTTAATTGAATTGATGTATCAATGTTTTTTTTAAAAAGATGACATGGGATTTAGCAAATTTTCTGAAAATGTCCATGAGGATCAGTCAGAGCTTACTTAAACAAGGCATTGTGTGGTAAAAGTTACCTTTCATTTTCAAGTGGTGTTACATTGTAGATATGAAAATGTCTTGCAAGAGTATTTTTTTACAATTGATTTGTAGAGAATGTGAGACTAGGGCTTGAGTCCCAGCTTGGCCATCGAAACCCACTGTGTGATCTTGCACAAGTCACCCCCGCTCAGCCTCTGAGGAAGACAAAGGCAAACTTCCTCTGAATGAATCACCTTAAGGTCACCATAATTTGGAAATGAATTGGAAGCACACACAACGACTACCTAATTCATATCCAGTGATGTTAAGTGTTGTTCATGGAACAAATCAGTATTACTGTAGTAATCAGGTAGTTCCTAAGATTACTTCTGTGCAAATGGAAAAGAGATATTTAGGTAGAATTTGAGCCTTTTGACACATATCAATAATAGTTCTGAACAAGTGGGCTGTGTAACAAAATATTGCAGTGTGGAGGTCTTGTGTTGAGATTTACAGCAGGCTTTGCACTCTTCCAGTATTTTTTATTCTTCTAATGAGTTGTTTTTTATTTCTCCACAATCCCAGTTTTTATTCTCCTTCAGACAGTCTTAATTTCCACACATCATGTTCAATCTCGTTTAATTATTTGGGTTGATCCATCTAGGAGTTGTCCCTTAAAGATTTGATGAATGGTACCTACCCACATCTAACAAAATATGTCATCTCTAGGAATTTTCTAGTTTTTCCAGGCAACTTCTGCTGGAAGTTACTATAGAGTCACATTGGAGGACCTAACAAATTTCTAGAGAAAATACTTCTGTAGAAGTTTTCTTTGCACTTCATCTTGATTATGTGACAGTTCCAGTGGAAGTTGCCTGAAGAACCTGGATAATTCCTAGAGAGGGTTTTCCAACAAAAGTTTCTCTAGGGTTTGCTATTCTGCACAATTGCCTGTTTCCATATTAACTTCAGAAATATTCCCTCATGGAAAAGGGGGGATGGTTATAGTATATGGCAAGTTTGCTTTTTTTGTCTTCTTTCATGTGAGTGATCCAGTTTAGATTCCATTAGGCTCTAGAGCTGTGGTTCTCCACTTGTGGGTCCCCAGGTATTTTGACCTACAACTCCCAGAAATCCCAGTGAGTTTATCAGCTGTTAGGATTTGTGGGAGTTGAAGGCCAAAACATCTGGGGCCCCACAGTTTGAAAATCACTGCTCTAGAGTAAGATAATGAGTTCATTGTTAGTATTTAAGAAGAATATATTCTATATTCTGCATGGTATATCTCAATAACACTTTGCAAATTATGCTTGGGAAGATCTGCCAGATAATTCAGTGAATTTGTGTTGAGTTAAAATACTCAGATGATAGCAGATACTTGAAATCATTGGGTTGAGATTATTAGATGCAGGGAAATGTTGAATAGAAACAATTTTTAATTGAACTTAAATTTTCTCTTACTGGCTCATGGAGAAAAGCTCAAGTGGCATCCAGTGTTCATGTGATGTGCATGATTAGTATGAGTGGGTGTATTCGCTTTGTGGTGATTCAGCTTTTAAGATCAGTTGCAGTAAGCAGTTTTTAAAAACATCTGCTGGGTTGTTTCTGTTTGCCTCTTGTTTGTTCTCTTTCTGTGTGAACTGTCATGAAAACTTGCCACAATGTGAAGTAATTGTAGCTTTGTAGTACAGGTAGCCTGCAATCTAGCATTAATCCACTTGAGTCATGTTCAGAGACTGGGAAAATTTAAGCTAATCTTTTCGAATTGAAAAACAGAAGTCATAGACTGAATTGGTACAGTTCTTTTGTTTTGAATGTCATGAGATCCACTCTGAATTGTGTGCATGACTCAAGTCCTGTTCAAATGTTTGTCTGAATATATGAGAGCTCTATGTGAACATGAGTAGAACATCCCCTTCAAGACATCTGTGCTCAACTTGGGGTGGTGAGGGCTTAAAGCAGTGGTTCTCAACCTGTGGGGTTCCCAGATTTTTTGGCCTTCAACTCCCAGAAATCCTAACAGTGGGTAAACTGGCTGGGATTTCTGGAAGTTGTAGGCCAAAACACCCGGGGACCCACAAGTTGGCTTAAAGGGTCAAAGCCAGAATGCATACTCTCTTCTACTTAGAGCCCTCATATATTTGGGCAAAGACCTGAGCACAGCTTCAGATACCCCTTTATCGGCATGCAATTACTTATTAGAGTCCAGTGAAGCTTTGGACAAGCAACCTGAAACATTACGGTGGGGCTCACTTTTACTGAGAAATACTGGACTTTTTGCTAGTCTATTCTTCCCAGCTGGGTTTCCCAACTGTTGGGAAACCTATTGTTGGATTTGGGAACGAATAACAATGTCTGTTCTTTCAGTCCCTAGTGTTTGTGTTACTATAGTTAACAGTGCGAAATATTCTGAATTTGAATTTGTCACCTTACTATCTGTATTTCACTACTAATTATATGTACTGTTTAAATATAAGTGAAGTCCTAGTTTGACTAGCATATATTTCAGGAAGTCATCAGGATGTATACATGAGAGCTCATACCATAATATGTCTTTTAGTCTTAAAGATGTCACACAATATGTTTTTATTAAGAGAGTATCAAAAATTAATTTACATCCTTGTAGTTAAAATTTCAGTTATTCAGAGGTGGATGTTTCTGTTGGCTTGAAGTAGAGAGCAGTTTCATTATGATTACTTATTTTTACTTAGGTTATCCCACGTAGCCTGAGGATGATGGTCCTCCAAGTGTAGTGTTTGGCAGTGGGTCCATAGGTGGCTGTGGAACCCTATTCTTGATCCGCATGTTCTCCCGCAGTGACGACATTGGTTTCCAGGTGGAAGGCAGCCCCGGTCAGGCCTGGCTTGATGTACCTTCCTCTTGGCATATTTCTCTCTTTTGCACTCGATTTGTGCCTCTTTGAATTCCACAGCACTGCTGGTCACAGCTGACCTCCAGTTAGAGCACTCAAGGGCCAGGGCTTCCCAGTTCTCGGTGTTTATGCCACAGTTTTTAAGGTTGGCTTTAAGCCCATCTTTAAATTTCTTTTCCTGTCCACCAACATTCTTGAGTTGGGTGTATAGTAACTGCTTTGGGAGACAGTGATTGGGCATTTGGACAACGTGGCCAGTCCAGCACTGTTGATGGCATAGGAGCATGCTTAGTGCTTGATGGTCTTTGCTTCTTCCAGCATGCTCACATTTGTCCGCCTGTCTTCCCAAGAGATTTGCAGGATTTTTCAGAGATAATGCTGATGGTTCCAGGAGATGATTATGAACCCTGAACACTGAGGAACTCAAGCACTTTTCCTTGGTTGCTGCATACTAGAATTAGACCTCTAGTGTAAGAGACCCCAAATGGAAAATTTCAGATGTCTTGTCTTGTGCTACACGTAACAAGAGATCTGAGATTTTCCATTCAGAGTCTATTCCACATTAAGGGACAACAGAAATAATGACTGTACTCCCTCTTTTACTTTCGGTCACATTCCTAATACCTCAACAGAATTAAGAATTCATTAGGAATGTATTACTTTCTAGGCTAATTCTATATGCCAGGTTTATTGGTTATTTTTCCTTCCTATTTAAGGGATAGGAGAAGAAAGTACAGGGAAACAGATTTCTAACTTTCCCTTTGCTTTTAGGCACACAGTTCCTACAGTACTATGGAAGGATGCTCAAAGCAAGGATCAGCCATGGTACGAAGATATTTTGGGTTCTAATCACCCTGTGATCCTTTACTTACATGGAAATGCAGGAACCAGGTAAGACATAAAATATGCCAGCTGCAGAGATGATAAAATCTTGGTTTTTATGGTTTTAGAAGATGATAGGCCTAACCATATCTGTATGCAGGGCAAGGCAGTCATCCTTCACCTCCAGCTTTCAAAATACCCTAAATATGCAGCAAATTTCACTTATTGTAGAACATTTATTTCATTTATCCACATTTATAGTGAAACATTTATTCCAATAGATTTTACTCCTAGTTAAGTCGGTATAGGATTATAGTGCTACTTTTATTATTACCCTCGTTGTTGTCAGAATTGAAGATGGGTGCTCTTTCAACTTGGGATTCCAGACAAACATGTAGATTGTGTCCTAATTCTTCTTGTTTGTCCCAAATAGAGGTTTTTGGTTTTTTTCAGTATGTTAACTCCTATTAGAGTAGACCTGTTGAAGCAAAGGAATTAAATTCCTTTTGACTCAGTAATTCTACTTTAGGACTAACAGTTGAAATTAGACTTCTATAGAACAGTTGTGATTAGACCTATATTTGTAAAAAGTGGGATGTCTCTCCTCACTTTCAAACACATCATTTCTTTGAACCTAGAAAGTGTGTGGAGTTCTAAACCAAAAAGAGAAATTTCCCCGATATGTAAAAATGAAACCTTTAGTATATACATTTTCCTGTGATCACGATCCTGTCATGGCTATGAACTTCTAAATGTGATACATTTCTGAAAAAGAAATGTGCTTTTCAGTACATAGGTGTTATGCTGTACTGAACGTGCTGTTAAGTTTAATGTGGATTATTCTCACATATTTGAATGTAGGATTGTAGCTTTAAACATTTGGCTAAATATTCTGCTGAAAGCAATGGGGTTTAAATGTGTTTGTTTCTATTTTAAAAGGCAGTGGGTTTTTTATATTAAGATGTCAAGAAAATAGTGTATCACACTTGGGTACGTTAAAAGAATATGTGATTTGTTCATTTTCTTTTAATAGAGGAGGCGATCATCGTGTTGAACTGTATAAGGTTAGAATTGCATATTTTGTTCATATGACTTAATATACAACTAATGTATATTTGCAGCTTATGTATCTCTAGTTACTTATTTGTATACCATTTTTTGTTTCAAAAACAAAAAAAAATTGTTTCAAAAAACTGAAAAAGTGCTGGACTATCACATCAGCATGTTAATTGCATGTTTAAATCTTCCCTAACCCTATAGGAATAATCATTTTGGGTATATCAGTCGCTAAGGGGAAATATTATGTTCATATGCAGAGTTTAGCATTCTTTTAAAAAATAGTAAGAACCATAACCATGACTGGTTTCTGTTTATAGGTTCTGAGTTCACTTGGTTTCCATGTAGTCACATTTGATTATCGAGGTAAGTTTTTTAGTTTTGAGAAATACTTTAAATTGCAGTTAGAGCTTTTGTTGCAACTGTCCCAGCACCCATCCCAGTTTTTTCAAATGAGAGCTTGTATTCACTTCAGGAGAAAGCTTTCGTTTACTATGTTGCATTAAGAGCTTTTCTTATTTGCTTAGGAGGTTTCAGCTCTTAAAGGCTTCAAGTACCTCCCTCCAAATCTCTTATTAGAGAAGCTTTCAAACATAGTAATAGTTTTCATTGAAAGATGTATTAAGATAATACTGGATTGATTTCAGGAGTCTGTGGTTCAACATTCAAAGTGCCTTTCCAGAAGCTCACTTTCTGTAAGGGTAGTTTTGGAACACGTGTCTTCCCGCTTTTGTCGTCAGTGATGGATTACCATTTCTGGTTGATGGTTTAATTGCTGAGTAGGCCTTTTGAAGCATCTTTTGCAAGAGAAGAGAGATTATTTGACATCATGTATTTATTGCGGAATTAGCATTTTATTTTATTTTTATTTTGTTTGCTATTTTGATTCCAATAGGAAGTGGGGAAGAAAGTACTGGCAGTCCCCAAGTTACAAACATCCATCTTATGCGTTAAGAATGGGTGAGACAACAGGAAGTGAGAGAAATCTACCCCTCCAAAGGGAAATTACTCCTGGAAGAGTTGTTGTTTATTCATTCAGTCGCTTCCAACTCTTCATGACCTCATGGACCAGTCCACGCCAGAGCTCCCTGTTGGCTGTCACCACCCCCAGCTCCTTCAGAGTCAAACCAGTTACTTCAAGGATACCATCCATCCATTATGCCCTTGATCGGCTCCTCTTCCTTTTTCCTTCCCATTTCCCCAAGCATCATTGTCTTCTCTAAGCTTTCCTGTCTTCTCATCATGTGGCCAAAGTACTTCATCTTTGCCTCTAATATCCTTCCCTCCAACGAGCAGTCGGGCTTTATTGCCTGAAGTATGGACTGGTTGGATCTTCCCATGATCTAAGGCACTCTCAGAATTTTCCTCCAGCAGCACAGTTCAAAAGCATTTATTTTCCTTCGCTGGAAGAGTTATCATGGGGAAAAGCTTTCTTACCAATCTTTGTTTCTACAACCAGCCAAACTTCCAAAATCCAGTGATCACAGAGACAGAAAGTGAGGTGAAATCTTCTGAACAGGGGCACAGGCAGCAAAAGAGTTAACGGGTGTAACCCTTTGCTGTGCTATCCGGAACATGTATGTATGTATGTATGAGTATGTGTCAGAACTAATCTCATTACACCATGGCTTTTTAAATACCCAGGGCGCACTGGAAAAAAATGGTACCACCCTGCTGCTCTTGGACCCTAGCACTACAATAACTTACAGTGTTGCTAAGTTCTGCGCTGCAGCACTTAAAATTCGACTGATGATGATCGACCCTGCAGGGCAGCACCCTGACAGGAGTGCGGCTGTAGCAACCTGTTGTATCTGAGGTTCCGCTGGACTTGTATTGAGTCCCTCCCTCTAGTGCTGCTCTAATGTTTTATCCCTCCTATTAGACTGCCCCATTCTGTGCTGGTCATGGACTGTAATAAAGTCTTGTTGTTGTTGTTGTTGTTGTTGTGTTTGTGTGTGTGTGTGTGTGTGTGTGTGGCTGGAATTACCCTAAAAAAATACCTGCTCCAACTTACAAACAAATTCAGCTTGAGAACTAACCTACAGAACCTATCTTGTTTGTAACTTGGGGACTGCCTGTATTTGTAATTTAGGAGTTTGTTTTCATTGCCCATTGCTTATTAATTGTTAAGCAGTAACAAATCTCACCATTGAGGAACTTATCTGATTTGTGATGGCTGAGATTAGTTTAAATACTGAAAATAAAAAATGGGGTGTTGTAGTGCATTCAAACCACATATTATCCGTATTTACATGAATCTAATGCACACCTGAATTTTCAAAACCCTGAAACAAAAAAAATAAATAAATTGCTGGCTAATGTAATGTACAGCAGTGAAAGGTATTTATTTATTTATTTATTTATTTACTCTATTTGTATACCGCATATATCAGCCTGAGGAGGCGACTCAATGCGGTTTACAATAAAAAGCAACACTAAACAATGTATGAGACACACAATACAGACAAACACATAATCATCAACGCCACACTTAGAATCAGATTCCGATCTCAAGATCCTTTTTCCATTCCTTGTCCGATGCCGTCATTATTGAGTTAGTTGCCGAAAGCCTGCTCGTAGAGCCACGTCTTCACCCTCCTCCGAAACACCAGTAACGAAGGGGCCTGCCTGATGTCCACCGGTAACGCATTCCATAGCCGAGGGGCCACCACCGAGAAGGCCCTGTCTCTCGTGCCCGCCAGCCGCACTTGTGACGCCGGCGGAACCGAGAGCAGGGCCTCCCCGGAAGATCTTAACGCTCTTCCCGGTTCGTAGGAGGAGATGCGTTCGGAGAGGTAAGTGGGGCCGGAACCGTGTAGGGCTTTATAGGCTAAAGCCAGCACCTTAAATTGTGCCCGGTAGCGAATTGGCAGCCAGTGGAGCTGGTTCAGCAGGGGGGTGGTGTGCTCCCTGAGAGCCGCTCCCGTTAGCAACCTGGCTGCCGAGCGCTGGACCATCTGAAGCTTCCGGGCAGTCTTCAAGGGCAACCCCACGTAGAGCGCGTTGCAGTAATCTATACGGGATGTGACAAGAGCGTGGACTACCATGGCCAAGTCTGACTTCCCAAGATACGGGCGCAGCTGGCGCACGAGCCGAAGCTGTGCAAATGCTCCTCTGGAAACCGCCGAGACTTGGGGTTCCAAGCTTAGCGAAGAATCCAGAGTCACACCCAAGCTGCGAACCTGCGTCTTCAGGGGGAGTGCGACCCCGTCCAACACAGGCTGTAACCCTATGCCCTGTTCGGCCTTGCGACTGACCAGGAGTACCTCTGTCTTGTCTGGATTCAATTTCAATTTGTTCGCCCTCATCCAGACCGTCACAGCGGCCAAGCACCGGTTCAGGACCTGGACAGCCTCCTTAGTAGTAGGTGGAAAGGAGTGACAGAGCTGGACGTCATCTGCGTACAGATAACACCTCACCCCGAAACTCCGGATGATCTCTCCCAACGGCTTCATGTAGATGTTAAATAACATGGGGGACAGAATTGAACCCTGCGGGACCCCACAAATCAATGGTTGTGAGGACGAGCAGGTGTCCCCCAGCAACACCTTCTGGGTACGATCCTCTAGGAAGGACCTGAGCCACTGTAAAACAGTGCCTCCCAGGCCCATTCCCGCAAGGCGTCCCAGAAGGATACCGTGGTCAATGGTATCGAAGGCCGCTGAGAGGTCCAGCAGAACCGACAGGGACACACTCCCCATGTCTAGCTCTCAACGTAGATCGTCTACTAAGGCAACCAAGGCTGTTTCAGTTCCATGTCCCGGCTTGAAGCCAGACTGTGCCAGATCTAGATAATCAGTGTCTACCAAGAATTCCTGTAGTTGCAAGGCCACCACACATTCCAGGACTTTGCCCAAGTAGGGGAGATTGGAAACAGGCCGATAGTTGACGAATTGAATGGGGTCCAGTGATGGTTTTTTCAACAGCGGTTTTATAACAGCTTGCTTTAAGCTGGCTGGAATTTTGCCTTCCCGAAGGGAGGCATTAACCACCACCTTCACCCACTCGGCCAATCCCCCTCTGGCCTCCTTTAGAAGCCAGGATGGGCAGGGGTCTAGGATGCATGTGGTTGCTCTCATCCCTCCAAGCACCTCGTCCACATCCTCAGGTTTCACAAATTGAAACGAATCCATCAAAACCGGACAGACAGATGTTCTCGTCACATCCTCAGAGACTGCCGTTAACATGGTATCCAGACCTGAACGGATCGAAGCGACTTTGTCCGCGAAGAACCGAGCAAATGCTTCACAGCGGGCTGTCGAGTTGTCAGGGCTCCCATCCAAAGTGGTGGGCTTCAACAGGCCTCTGACAACTCGGAACAGCTCGGCCGGACGGTTCTTTGCGGACGCAATATTGGCCGCAAAGAAAGATTTCTTTGCCGCCTTTATTGCCACGGCATATGCCCTTAATAGGGCAACAAACCGTGCTTGGTTTGACTCGCTCGGGTCCGAACGCCACACACGCTCTAGTCTCCTCTTTTTTCGCTTCATTGCTGCCAGCTCCTCGGTAAACCAAGGAGCTGGTTTCGCTCGGCTACTTGAGAGGGGACGTTCTGGAGCGATCGTGTCTATTGCCCTGGTCATCTCCCCATTCCAGAGAGCGACCAGGGCATCGACAGGATCACCAACCGAGGCGGGGAAATTCCCCAAGAGCCATCAGGAATCCATCCGGATCCATAAGCCTCCTGGGGCGGACCATCTTAATGGGTCCCCCACCTCTGCAGAGGTTGGTGGTGCAGTAAGTCTAAAGCTGATCAGATGGTGGTCGGTCCATGGCAACGGAGAGATGGATAACTCCTCAACCCCGCCACCTGCTCCCATCCTTGACAGAAGACCAAATCCAATGTGTGCCCAGCACTGTGGGTGGGGCCAGTTCCTTGTTGGGACAGCCCCATGGTTGCCATGGAAGACATGAAGTCCTGAGCCGCTCCCCTAAGGCAGTCTCAGCGTGCATGTTGAAGTCCCCCAGCACAAAGCCGTTGGGACTCCAACACCAGCCTCGAGACCACCCCCGCTAGCTCAGGTAGGGAGACTGTAGTGCAGCGGGTGGTCGGTACACTAACAGAATCCCTATTCTGTCCCGGTCTCCTACCCTCAGGTGGACACATTTGAATAGTTGACTGCAGGATGGGGCCTCTGGTCAGAGGGATTGAATTTTTATAGACCACTGCTACTCCGCCTCCCCGCCCTCCAGGTCTCGATTGGTGCTGTACGGAGAACCCTGGCGGGCAAAGCTGGGTTAAATTAACTCCTCCAGCTTCGTCCAACCAGGTCTCCGTAATGCACGCCAGATCTGCCCGTTCGTCCAGGATTAGATCCTGGATGAAAGATGTTTTGCCGTTGACAGATCTGGCGTTCAACAGCACCATCTTTAACCCGGAGGGACCGCTGGCCTGGTTACACCCATTTACCTTGTCAGGAGACCAATTACATTTTATTAAATTATTTTGATTCCTTTTCCTCCTCCTAGGCCGAATTTGAATCGTTGATTCCTTACTGTTTTTGAGCCGAATTAATGGCCGAATTGGTCGCCGAATTAACGGTCTCCCTTTCCCGCATCTCCCCCTCCCCGTCAGAACTTCTATGGGGGCCCCCCGGTCAATGGAATGCTCCTCTCCATCCATATTGCACTTCAAGATTGTAAACTCATCCCATGCTTTCCTCCAGGTTGTTTCCTTTGTTATCTTCCCCTTCTGCTGATCTAATCCATTCCAATTGTTCCTTGATCCTGCAATGCTGTTACTAAGATCTCCCCACCCACTCCCCCCTCTTTCCCCTTCCCCAATTGCCAGCAATATTATCAGCAAATACCATAATTTGAGGGGCGACATGGGTGTTCAAGTGTAGCAGGTAATGGGATGCAGGCAATAAGGTGCAGATGTTAACGTTTTAAGGTGTTAAATGCTTAATGCTTAGATGCTTGGTACACTCTTTGAAATGTGCCAATTGCATTTGCTGCCTGCTTAAAATTCCTTTTTTTAAAAACAATTTTTTTAGAACACCTAAGCTTTAAGCAATGGAAACGAAATTTTGGAGTTCGTCTATGCTTTACAATGAATCCACTTTAATTGCCTTTGTTCAATGCTATGGAGTCACAGGGGGTACAGTTTTGCAATGTCTTGAGCCTCCTCTCCCAAAGAGTGCTCATGCCTCATCAAACTACAAATCCCAGGATTGCATAGCATTGAGTTATGACAATTAAATTATATATGTTGTTGTTCATTCGTTCAGTCGTCTCCGACTCTTCGTGACCTCATGGACCAGCCCACGCCAGAGCTCCCTGTCGGCCGTCACCACCCCCAGCTCCCTCAAGGTCAAGCCAGTCACTTCAAGGATGCCATCCATCCATCTTGCCCTTGGTCGGCCCCTCTTCCTTTTGCCTTCCACTTTCCCCAGCATAATTGTCTTCTCTAGGCTTTGCTGTCTCCTCATGATGTGGCCAAAGTACTTCAACTTTGTCTCTAGTATCTTTCCCTCCAGTGAGCAGTCGAGCTTTATTTCCTGGAGGATGGACTGGTTGGATCTTCTCGCAGTCCAAGGCACTCTCAGAACTTTCCTCCAGCACCACAGCTCAAAAGCATCGATCTTCCTTCGCTCAGCCTTCCCTAAGGTCCAGCTCTCACATCCGTAGGTTACTACAGGGAATACCATGGCTTTGACTAGGCGGATCTTTGTTGCCAGTCTGATGTCTCTACTCTTTACTATTTTATCGAGACTGGACATTGCTCTCCTCCCAAGAAGTAAGCGTCTTCTGATTTCCTGGCTACAGTCTGCATCTGCAGTAATCTTTGCCCCTAGAAATACAAAGTCTGTCACGGCCTCCACGGTTTCTCCTTCTATTTTCCAGTTGTCAATCATTCTTGTTGCCATAATCTTGGTTTTTTTGACGTTTAGCTGCAACCCGGCTTTTGCGCTTTCTTCTTTCACCTTGATTAGAAGGCTCCTCAGCTCCTCCTCGCTTTCGGCCATCAGAGTGGTGTCATCTGCATATCTGAGGTTGTTAATGTTTCTTCCTGCAATTTTCACCCCAGCCTAAATTATATATGGCATCCCTCAAATAGAAACTCCAGGTGCTCCTGATGCCTCTTCTCCTATTGCTTTGGCTCAGCACTAAGGTTATCCTATTATGCGACTCTAATGTGCACCCTAATTTTGGCAAGGTAATTTAGAAAAAAAATGGTGAGCGTTAGATTCAAGTAAATATGTTATGTATATTCAAGGAGGGTCTCACACTGTCAGAAAATTTGGGCTGAGACTTTTAAACATTTCAGCTAATTTGTTAGTAAGATACCATTCATTTATAATTTTGGGGCTGCATTCCCTGGCCAAAGCAGAGCATGATTTGAAAGAAATAAATGAGATTACCCTTTTTTGTTATCTCCATCTCAAGGCCTAACTCCCACAGCCCCTTAAGGTTACCTCATTCCCTTGAGATTTGTCTCCAAACCATTGAGAAAAAGATGCAACTTGACCTTTGTCTTACTTTAGAGACCACTCACACATCCACCAAGTAAACTGCTAGAATTGTGATATCTTGAGCTACTCTGTTTTTTTCGCTGTATCTCAAATGTAGTTGGACAAAGTCTTTTGGGTAATAGCTGGGAACACAACTCCTAAAATAATGCATTTTACCTTTCAGGTTGGGGAGACTCAATAGGCACTCCCTCAGAGAGTGGAATGACCTATGATGCTCTTCATGTTTTTGACTGGATAAAAGCAAGAAGTGGAGATAACCCAGTTTATATATGGGGGCACTCTTTAGGCACTGGGTAAGTTGTCAGATTGTAGATGACTTTAAGCAGGGCTTGAAAAAAATACAAGTGGCTAAACACTTTGAATTTAGTATGTTCGTGTGATGGTGAGATGGGATAATTATAGTCTCTACACTGATTTGTGTTCAGTTAGCACTAACCTAAATGTCAATGCTGAGCTAGAATTTCATGTTAAGACAAAACTAATTAGCAAATGATAACATAGACCAGGTTTGTAGATCTGTAATTCAAGATGTGTTAAAAATAAAATGTATGTCAATATAGAATATAAGTGAACCTATGGGCAGATGTAGCGGCTTTTCCCTCCTGATTTTGATGTACTAATAGTGTGCTCCATGTGCAGCCTGGTAAGAATTATTTTCTAGCTTGGCTAAGTCCAAACCATTTTGCCCAACCCACACCTTAAATTTTCCCCAAAGGCAGTCAAAAGTCTAGGCAGATGTTGGAGGACTATTGCTTGTCAGAAGGTAGTCCATTAGGTTATGCATACGAAACATCTCTGGAAAACTATTAATGGCAACCCATAGGGATCACATGTTATCTGCCTCCTTCATTCAAGAGTCATCAAGATTTATAGGGAAGATGCTGTTTCATTTTCATTAATGCCACATTGTATAAGGATTTGGCATTTCTTGTGGATACCAAAATTCCACCTTAAAGGAAACGTGAATATTCTGATTTGAGGGTATATTTAAAAAATGTTTCTTGATGAAACCCATTAAATGACATTGGACAGGCAATTCTCTCTAGAATGTTACCACTAAGTATTATATTGAATTTAATTTATACACTCTCCTCCTTCAACCCCTCCATTCTATGTGGTTGATGTCTCCATTCCCTCAGGGTCTTGGCTCAGCTTGTAAGAAATTGCTTTCTTAACTTCAGGCGGCACATTCCCAGAACCTTTATTAATGAGTTCAAAATGCACTCACTGTGACTGTTTGTTCCATGGTTCATATTCTGTTGTATGTCGTTTGAACTCTGCTATCAATGGATTCGGCATAGATGCTGCCAAAGGCATTGCTGTATTGAAAACAGTAGTGCATTTGTTTGGAGTCAAAGCAAGCCAGAGAGCTGTGAGGGCTAGCTGTTTTTCAGTCTGCATAAGAAAGTATAATGTGACAATACAGAAACATAAAAAGAGAGACAGAGTCTGCTGTAATTGATTGAATTAATCATAGAATCTATGGAACAAATATAAAGCTCTTTCTTTCAGATTTTGCTTAGACATTCATGTGTCAGAATTAGTAGACTTCCCTTGTTATTTGATATAAAATAGCTAGTGTGTTTCTTGACAATGGTTTGGATGTTAAGTTGTCCTTTCATAAATGGAAAGCTTTCTTCTGTTTGTGAAAAGAATTCCAGATCAGCAGAAGTTCCTGCTGACAAAAGGCAAAAAGGTGGGGATTTTTTGCTGATAACCTTGGAAATTCACAGCACTACTTCCTATGTTCCACTGACTTCCTTAACGTTTCTGAGGAGATTTATACAGCTAGATTAGGATGACTGGAAAATTGGCAAAAGTCTCCTTCCCCTTTCTTTCCACTAGGAACATATTTCCATCTATAAGAATTTAGGATTCAGGCCAATGACTTTTGCATCAAGAAAGAAAAATCGCAATATCTGAGTCTTTTAAGAACTCTTCAATTTGAAAAGAACATCATTAGACAAAGTGAATCCAAACAGCTTAATACTTTTGTCCTAATCCTGTGTATGCTTACAAATGAATCTCATTAAGCAAAGTGCTCTTATTTCTTTTAGTAAACATGGGTTAAATGAAGATATAAAAGAGTTATAATAAGAGGACTAGATGTAATCAGCATTTTAATTTTAGGCATGTTTCCCTTCTAGAGTTGCAACCAACTTAGTGAGGCGTCTTTGTGAAAGAGGTAAGAGAGCTTTCTTTGGGTGATCTTATAAATTAACTCCCAATTTCCTCTGGTCTTTGAAAAAAGGATGTGTTGATATTTATTCACTATAATTTTCTGTGCTTTCAAAATGAAGCTGAGTTCTAAAATTAAAATTATTGGCCTGTAGTTGCTTTTTATTTATAGAGGACTTACATAACATACAGGATCTGTTTCTTATCTTTTAGAAGGAGTTAAGTGAATCTTTTTTTAAAAAGTAAAGCTTTCCTTCTTTGTGAGTTAAAAATAACTTCTTTGGCATTTCAAATTACCACTTCTGTCTAGTTGCCATTAGAATTCGTGCTTGTAAAGCACTCTACTTCCCATTTTTTTGGTTGGCAAAAGTCCATTTGATTTGAGATGGGTATTTTTGAGACAACTGCAGTTTGACTTTTTAAAGAATATTGTCAGTCCTTTTTCCTGTAAGGAAACTGAGAATAGAATCTCATTTCTGGTCAGCCAAATTCTTCCTTTTCATTGAACTGTGCTAAGGAAGTGTACCATTGCTCTGCAGCTTCAAGAAGGCTACCATATAGTGGGCCCCTTGGTAGCACAGCGGGTTGAACTATTGAGCTGCTGAACTTGCTGACCGAAAGGTCTGTGGTTCGAATCTGGGGAGCAGAGTGAGCCCAAGCTTCTGCCAGCCTAGCAGCACGAAAACATGCAAATGTGAGCAGATAAATAGGTACCGCTTTGGCAGGAAGGTAACGGCGCACCATGCCATCATGCCAGCCACATGACCTAGGAGGTATCTACAGATAACGCCGGCTCTTCGGCTTAGAAATGGAGATGAGCACCATCACCCAGAGTCGGACAAGACTAGACTTGATGTCTAGGGAAATCTATAGAGCTCCAGGACTTTGCCTTAATGGTAGAGCACTGTAACCTTTTGCATTTCATTTTCAGAAACTCCCCCTGATGCTCTCATCTTGGAATCTCCCTTTACAAACATACGCGAAGAAGCAAAAAGCCACCCCTTTAGTGTAGTAAGTATAGATTTATGTGCTGAAATTGCCATCTCTTATTGTGACACTTGACATACATGCATAACATTGAGGATGTGATCGTTTTTTATTTTTGTCATATTTAAAGTGTTAGTCAATGAATAAGCATGTATAAAGTTTTTCCCCCTACTATTGATTCTTCAACACTCACGTTGTGCTTTTTGCCCTCTACAGAGAGCTTTGGTAGTCCATAAATGATCAAAGAATTCCATTTGGAAGAGTGAATATAGTTTGCAAATGCATGTGGTAATTCTAAGAGTAAATGAAATCTGAACTTCTTTGACTCCAAGTAATTGAGATAAGAATTTAGAGATAAGCAAGGATATTAAAACATCACAACATCCAGGCGTCCTCTGGGCAACGTCCTTCCAGACGGCCAATTCTCTCACACTAGAAGCGACTTGCAGCTTCTCAAGTCGCTCCTGACACGACCAAAAAAACAAAAAAAAAAACAAAAAACAAACAAACATTACTCAGAAGGATCTTGATACTTTTTCATATGACACAGATCAAGTGTCTGGGTGTTTATTAAAGGAACTGAAAGTGCAACTTGCATGCTTATTATGGAAACATAAATAAATCTTATTTTGTAGGTTCTTCTGAAATGTCAGGTGGTCAGAGGCAAACTTAAACTGTAAGTAGCACCACCAAGGTGCTACTTTGTAAGGAGGACCCTGATCCAGTGAGATCCAGGCATCAGTGCCAATATATCCTGGCTAATGGTTTCTATAAAATCCCTGCAAAGAATAGATGGTAGTGCTCCATTTAATTGTTTGGGAAGTGTAAGTTCCTTGTTGAAGACCTTGTTTTCCGTTTTAATGTGGTGTTACCTTCTAATGATAAGGAGTGTGTGTGTGAAAGAGAAGTTCTTCAGTCCTTCATTGCGAACACAAAGTAGTCTTTAAACCTTAGGATGGGACTGAAGGCTGAAGGGAGATGCTGCCTTTCTTTCCTTCCTTCTACATTGGTTTGTTTCATAATGATGCCACCATTGTCTCCTTGTCAAAAGTTCATCAATACAGAATGGCCTTTACGAAGCTAAAACCTATCTTCTCCTTTCCCTCTTATTATTTTAATGAGACTATGGAATATTTATTAATAATACTTTGCTGTTTTTTAGAAATCCGTGATGCTGATGATGTTGATGCTATGTTCTTATATCTGCTAGATTTCTATGCAAGCCATGCTTTTGTTTGTGTTCAGAAAAAGTTCTATTCTTGGTGGACGATTTTGCCAATTAGTCACAGGCTTGCATTTTTTTCCTTCAGATATATAGATATTTCCCAGGATTTGACTGGTTTTTCCTTGACCCTATAACGTCAAGTGGAATTAAGTTTGCAAATGATGAAAAGTGAGTATATATTGTATCTCTTGAATCTTACTTTATTTTTCAAGAGGATGAGGATCCCAGTAGCAAATGCAGATCTCTGAAGACTTTTCTTTTTAAACCAATTTGATGTGTTTGGCTTCTCTAGATCAGCTATCTTTTCCTCAATGGAAAGAAATCTTGCCTTTATATATTATTTATGCTATAATTATTGGCTGCCACCCCTAATGGATTGGCTAGCCCCTCTTTTCTGTTGCTATTCCATTTCCATCTATATCTGGTATACCCATTTTGTCTGCCATATGTTCATCCTTCATGAAAGAAAGAAAAATCACACAGAAATTACTTCTGTATATCTGGCATGACTTGCTTCTTGTCCTTCCTTTCATTCAGAACTTTTTCTTGGTCTTTCCTGCCCCTTGACCTTTTAAATGGCATAGATTTCTAGATTTCTGATCTGCCATTTGCAGAGTTGACTATTCATGAGTTTGTATCTACTACTCAACCAGCTCACACCAATCTGTCTTCCTGTCCCTCTACCTCCCCAGTGTTATACTGCCAAGTGTATCAGTCCTTCATTTCCTTCTCCACATTTCCATTGAAACAAAATCCACATTTGAATCTCCATCCTCCATTGCTTCCCTCCCCACTTTCCCATCGAAGCCTCATCCATTTTTAAACCTTTTCCTTAATATCAGCCTTCCTTCCTCTCCATTGCCCATCATCCCACCTAATCCCGCAAATGTGGAAGGCTGACTATACTGTGCTATAATAAGATAATGTATATTGAACGTCGTCGGCATTCTCTCTTAAATAGGTACATTAAAAAAAACTTTAATGTTGTGTTTGGCATTTCATTTTGTTTACAGCGTGAAGCACATTTCATGTTCTCTGCTTATTCTTCATGCTGAAGATGATCCTGTAGTTCCATTTCATCTTGGAAAAAAGGTATGATTTTTCAGCTATCATCTTCAGTGCCTGCCTTTCAAGTTATAAATATCCTGAAAGAATGAGTGCAGTAAAAGAGGCTTTATCTGTATTTTAATTTGGGTTTTGTGGGCCACTAAAAGAGGTAACTATCTCTTTAATTCTGACTATAGCAATTGATGGGGGAGCAGCTCTGAAAGGCGGCCGATTTCAGAGGAGGCTGAGTACTTAACATTTTCCTTGCTGGCTGCTTTATGCTGTAGCTCTTCTTTAGAAGGTCTCTGAGAAAACTGCCTTCTAGTAGTAGCCATCGTTATGGCATTAAACACATTTTCATATGTAGTTCAGCCCTGAGCTAAGAACAAGATTGAATAGGTCTGCACAAATTGATATATTCTAACTTTGTGTACTTCTCTATATTTTTCTCATCTCTGATTTTCTCACCATTGTACAGAGCTGAAATCTTGACCACCGCGTAACTCATTAAAAGCAATCTTTCTTTTTTTCTATATTGTGGTATGCAGTGAGCGATTCTAACATTACTGGGAATTGAGAATTCATGTTCCTTTTAAAAGAAGGGAGGCAAAGGAGAGATAAGGGGCTGTGGTGAACTTGCTAGCTGGAAGGTTGACGGTTCAAATCTGCAGGGTGGGGTGAGCTCCCGCTGTTAGTCCCAGCTCCTGTCAACCTAGCAGTTCAAAAACATGCAAATGTGACTAGATCAGTGAGTGCCGCCTCGGCGGGAAGGTATATGGCACATGACCTAGGAGGTGTCTATGGACAACGCAGGCTCTTCGGCTTTGAAATGGAGATGAGCACCACCCCCAGAGCTGTAAGGGGAAGCTTTTACCTTCTATCTGTGTTTATAAGTATTGAATGTGTGCTTTTCTGTCTGTATTTGTTTGAATCCGCCCTGAGTCCCCTCGGGGAGATAGGTCGGAATACAAATAAAGTGCTCATGTTTCTGTTTGGAAATATCACATGAGTTCTCCACCCCAGAAAAACATTGAGTGACAAAAAGTACCTTCTTGCATAGGCTTGTGTGGGCCAGGTGTCAAGCAACCGAAGTACAGTGTTCCCTCACTTATTGCGGGTGTTACGTTCTAGGACCACCTGCAAAAAGTGAAAATCCGTGAAGTAGGGATGCTGTGTACAGCCGAGTCCTAGATATCCAACTTCCGCTTATCCGACACTCCGTATTATCTGCCACTACCGTCTTTGCTACCCTCTCTGCCGTCCCTCGCTCCCTCGCCCTTTCCTCCATCGCTCACTCACCAGGCCGAGTCCTGGCTCTGCTGCTGTGATCCGTCCTGGTGAGTGAGCAAGCGAGGGAAGGCAGCAGCGGGGGCAGAAGCAGCAGCCTAGAAGAGGTGGCTAGGCTCCTGCTTCTGCCTTTGCGGCCCTCCCTCCCTCCCTCCCTCCCTCACTCACTCACTCACTCGCCCTCCCTTGCTTGCTCGCTACTCACCGGGTCACATCCTGGTGGCAGAACCAGGACTCATCCCAATGAGTAGCAAGGAAGGAAAACCACAAAACAGCGAGTCCACGAAAAGCAAACTGCGAAGTAACTAGGGAACACTGTATGAGTATATGCATTGTGATGTGGCATCAATTCTGATTGAACACTCAGATCTCTTTTTTTGTAACAGTGTTACAAAACAACTGAGATCCAATTATTTTCTTTTAGTTGTATGATCTTGTATTTAAATATGGTGAAATACTAATCTAGATATTGTGAGCACAGTGACTGAGACTCAGACTTAGTTAATAAGCATATATTTGAAGATTGGGTCAAACTATTCTTTCATTTACTTGGTTACCATCTAGTTATAGGGATGGTAAAAGGATGTAAGGATGTTATAGCTCTCTGACATGAAATAAATACAAGCAACGTACTTTGAGAGTACAGGCATTGGTTTCTGTTGAAGGCAGACGTTCAGTGTGCACTATCTTGCTATTAATTACTAAATCAAAATGGATTATAAAAGTGAATGTTACTTTCCGTTTAACATTATTCTATAATTGGGGCAGACACTTCTTTATCAGCCTGTATTGACTTTGAAACTTTTTTTATAGCTATACAACATTGCAGCCCCATCTCGGAGCTTCCGTGATTTCAAAGTCCAGTTTGTTCCATTTCACACAGATCTAGGTTACAGGCATAAATACATCTACAAGAGCCCAGAACTACCTCGAATATTAAGGTAATTAAAAGGTTTCCTCTTAATGTTTGTTGTAGTGTTCATGTTGCTTTCCGCAGATGTAACTAAAATGAATGACGTATCATAAAACATACATATGTATGAGTTTACTTCTCTTATTTTGGAGTCATTTTTGCACTCCCATATAACACTGGACACTGGAGTGGGCATGGGCAAACTTGGGCCCTCCAGGTGTTTTGGACTCCAACTCCCATAATTCCTAACAGCCTCAGACCCCTTCCTTAAGTGGCTGAGGGGGGAAAAGGAAAGGGTCTGAGGCTGTTAGGATTTATGGGAGTTGGAGTCCAAAACACCTGGAGGGCCCAAGTTTATTTATTTATTTATTTATTTACGACATTTATATGCCGCCCTTCTCATCCCGAAGGGGACTTAGAGCAGTTTACAAGATATTTTTATATATACACACACACATACACACACACATATATATACACATATACATATGTACATACAATATATTAGATTATTAGCATAGCACAATATCAGTATTATATATTACTATATTGTACTATACCATTATGTTGTAATATTATTAGTAATATTACATGTAATATAAAATATATAATTATAATATTGTATTATATTGTATTACATTATAATATTATAAATATTATATGTATATACAATATATTATTAGTATAGCACTGGAGACAAGGTGGAACTGTCCCCCTTTCTCTTCACTCTGGCCCAGAGCATCAGTTGGTGCTGGAGAGATGGCATAGGCAGGAGACAAGGTGAAACTGCCTTCCTGGCCCCCTTTCTCATCACTCTGGCCCAGAGCAGCATGGGTTTGCCCATGCCTGCTCTATAGTCTGAAAAACAGCTATTTTATTATCACATAGATAGATACCAAGTCTATTTTTCTGCATCATATCTCATTCTGAAAGAAAGAATGGCTGAAATATTAAAACGTTTTGCTCTCTGAAAATCGCACCTGTTTTTTTTTCCTTCGTAGGGAATTCATGGGGAAATCTGAACATAAGCACCATCACTGAAGACTACCAGGTTGGTAAACGTGCAATTATGTCCCCTGAGGAAGAAAAAGGAAACATGAACACCTGCCTTGTTTTGAAATCTAGGCACTGGATAAGTCTCTGATTGCTGCTCCACTCCTCATGCATCCCTTTGGAATCCCAGCCTTTGGGGGAAGTAGGTATGAAGAGCAAATTTAGTTGGCTTCTGACCCTCAACCCCACCTATGTTTTTCTTCTAAAGAAGAAGGGAACCAGACCAATTGGAACAATTATGTTCAAGCACAAGAAAGACTTGGTTTTAAAAAAAATGATGAAAGTTATAAACATTCCTACAGATGTGTGTGCTGGCTCGCAACAGTCTTCAAAGGACAAAAAAAAAAAACTTGCACTCAGAAACGCAAATGGACTGCAGTTATCTGCAAAAAAATGTAACAGCTATAATATTTCAATGCTGCACTTAGATTACTAGATTTACAGGTTGTTCTCGTGTAGAAGTTAGTTCGGTGAAGAATGCTTTTTCTTCGGTCAGTTATCTAATTGGGAATTGGTGAAAATGAATGGATTGTTTTGGTTTTTAAATTCCTTTAAAAAGACGGAAGTTGGGATATTTACAAGAAGATATTTCAGAATGAAATGAAGGATGTTTCTCCTTTAAAATAAGGTAACTATTTAGTAGTGATAATCTAATAGTGAATAAGTGTCCCTTTCTCTATTGCCTTGCTTTTACATTTCATAGCACTCTCACATATATAGATAATATATTCTTCATAGACGAGTATATCTCCTTTAATATTATTTCTCCTCATTTCCAGGCCATTGTCTTTAGGTGTCCATGGAACTTAAGTGATATAAATTACAGGTGGAGAGATTTATTGGAGGAACTCCTTTTTAAAAATGGGGGTGCCTTTGAGCTTAGTCCTGCAAGGGATGATGGGACATTTGTTTTTCCACTGTGGTGAAGATGTCTTCCAATCACCTCTAATAGAGAGACACATATGCACTTTGGAGGGAAGAAAACTATTACCCATCTTTTAGTAATCATGATTCTTTATACCCCGAACCCTGTCATTTTCCTTTTAAGAAATACTCAGGTACATTAGAGTTGGTCAGAAGTTTTCTTTTTCTTTTAAAGGGATTCCATATAACTGAATATTTTAACTTCATCTCCGTGAATAGCACACCAGATTCCCTCAAAAGGGAAAATGTTAGCATAACATGTGTGAGATGCCTATTTTAATCTAGACTAGTCAAAGGTACTGAAAATTGAACAACTTTGTTATTTTCCTGTCCTAATCCATTAAAACGAATATATTTTTTCTGCTTAAAATTAAAGGTTGGCTTTATCTTTGTACTTCTGTTGATATTATTGACACCTAGAGCTATGTGAAAACTTTCTGATCAAACTCAAATGTTCCCTTCAGTTGGCAAATGCCAGGCAGAGAACCTAGTTTCTCTTTATTGTAGCAAAGCAATTGCTGAATTTAAATTTAGCAGGCAACATGCCGGTAACTCATGGTAATAAATGTTGGAATATGATTTTTATGTTTACCTCTTTTATTGATATTTGACCATATTGTTATTGTGAACCTCATGAAATCAGTCCATTGTGTTCAACTCTTCAAAATCATGGCATAATAACCCAAGGTCAGGGGCAAAGCTCCTTCACCTGGGTGAAGATGCTGTACTCCTATCGCTGTGTAGGGCAGTAGTTCTCAACCTGTGGGTCCCCAGATGTTTTGGTCTTCAACTCCCAGAAATCCTAACAGCTGGTAAACTGGTTGGGATTTCTGGGAGTTGTAGGCCAAAACACCTGGGGACCCACAGGTTGAGAACCACTGATGTAGGTCTGGAACTAGCCATGAAACCACAGTTAAGCATACTTTATATCCAACTAAACCCCACATTAAACCATGGTTTAGTTTCCTACCATGTCTGACTTGTCTGGAAGTCACGTACCATTCTGGTTTGGATATAATAGAAATCCAGAGGCTTTACTGACTGAAGGGAAGAGAAAAGGGACTATGTCAGGTGCTTGAAGGTTGTGTATACTTTGGTTCATCTGAAATATATATAAGATGAAAAGTGCTCTTGCGGTGCCTATTTCTGTCACTTGCTACCAGACAGATGGTACTGTTTGTTGAGGCAATATCTATATATTCCATCAAATTGTTTGCTCATGGAATGTCATGTCAGCTTTTTACTGTATGTTATCCCATCTGTATCAACTGCATTAGGATAATTCAGGATCACTTTTAACCACATGTGAAGGTATTTAGAATAGATGCTGCAAAAGCCACAGACAGCTTCTGTGCACTTAACGCAAACCTGCCATTCTTTCCTGGTCCTGGCAGTCCTTCTGTAATTCTAGATATGACTTCTTGGTATGTTTCAATGGCCACCTTTAAGATTCTAAGTCATCATTCATGCAAGTCTGACATAGAAAACAATCTAAGGCGCTGTAATTTGGAAACAGAGGATTCAAGGCAGCATGGCAGTTGAACCCAAATGAATTACTTTACAGTAGTCCTCTTAGTTTTGTGGGGAGAGCCTTGAGGTATGTCATTCAGTACACATGCAATATTGAGTATAGTGATCCTAGAGTTCAGAAGTTAATTCTTCAGTACGTAAAAGGCATTGATGAGTAATGATTGTAAATGAAATACTTGGATTTTGCATGCATCAGACATATATCTTTCAGCTCCATCATACTTGCAAGGAGGTAGTAGCTTAATTGCGTAGACTTTTCTACTGTGGTGAAGTCTATCAAGATTGTGAGTCACAATTATCTCTGCAGTAGATTGTGCCCTATAAGAGTCTGTCTCTCTGCACATACACACCCTCTTTCAACACACAGCGCTTTGGGTTAATTGCATTAATGCTATTTTGGCTCTTTTGTGGTAAACAAAAGAAACATTCCAGTCAATGCTGCTGCTGCAGACTCCTCCCACTGTAGTGTTGATAAAAGTACGAACCAATGTGGAAATAACAATTCCTCCCATGCTACACCAATAAGAGTCCAAAGCATGCACTAGTGCTGTTTCTCCTGACACACATGTACTAGTTGTTAGAACAGTGACATGCTTTGAAATGGAAATGTTTATATCTAAAAGGTGTGTAGTTTTAATAAAGCGAGTGACTTCTGACTTTTTTGGTGGTGGCCTGCTTTTGTTTTTTAATGTTGGTTCAAAAGACACAGAGGCTGAAATGGTTGACACGTGAATGATAGCTAATGATATAGTTATAAGTGTAACTTTGCTGCTGTTGGCCTCGTGTCCTTCTTTAAAATGTCCTCTTAGGGATTACTCACTGTCTAGGATTGTGGCTTGGTAGGAATTGGGGACAATTTAAAGTGTGAGGAGGACACAAGGGACTCCGGATCCTGCCAGGTGCTCTTTGTTTTGGGCCTAAACAGAAACAAGTGTGTTTTTCCCCCAACACATTACCTACTAGAGACATTGAACAACAGCTAACATCAGATGCATTATGGTCCCAGCCTGATTGCATTCTGTGAGATTCTATTAGACACTGAATGTAGTGTCTTGTACTGTGCACCCACTTTTTTCTGACACTTGGAATTTTGAAAAGCAATAAGCAATTTTCAATATGTAAGAGATGCAGTTTCTTTGTACCTTAGAAACTCTTTTGGATAGAGATTGCTTTTGTACCAATTCATTATAATCTCTGTAGCATTTGTTATAATCGTGATTTTATTACCATCCAGATTTAACCAGTTCCATTGCAGCTTTGAAAGTACCCTGCTGGAACAGTTTGCCCTTAAGGCTTTTTGCTGCATTGCAGTTGTGTGAGTTGTTTACGCTGCTCTTTCATCGTAGAATTATAAGAGTTGGAAGAGACCCCAAGGGCCATCCAGTCCAACCCCATTCTACAATGCAGAAGCCCACAATCAAAGCAATCCTGACAGATGGCCATCTAATCTCTGTTTAAAATCCACCAGAGACGGAGACTCCACCACACTGCAAAGCAGTGCATTCTACTGCCAAACTATTCTTACTGTCAGGAAGGTCTTCCTTAAGTTTTGCATGGAATCTCTTTTCTCTTTTCCCGATCTCTCCCAAACAATTCTGAGCATGTTGAATCCAGCATGGGAGCCCATGCATCAAGACCAAAATGCAACAACAAATTGCCAATGACCAAAGTTGCTTCTAGTTTGGTGCTCTGCCTCTTGGCCACTGTATCACACATTAGGCAGGTTAAACCCTTGTGCTGGCAGGATTGCTGGCCAAAAGGTCAGTGGTTTGAATCTGGGGAGCGGGGTGAACTGTCAGTCAGCTCCAGCTCCCCATGCGGGGACATGAGAGAAGCCTCCCACAGGATGGTAAAACATCCAGGCGTCCTCTGGACAATGTCCTTGCAGACAGCCAATTCTTTCACACTAGAGGCGACTGACAGTTTCTCAAGTCGCTCCTGACACAACTCCCCCCCCCACAAAAAAAACACATAAAGCAAGAAAGAAATAATAATAAATACAGAACACTGAATTCAAATGCGACATTTATGATTGTGTGATTTTTAATCTTTTTTCAGCACAAGAAGGTAACAGTAATATAACACACACACACACAAAGATGTGTCAACTCAAAATTCCACATTTTTGGAAAATGATATGTCAGTGGCAAATGCATTTATTTTGCAAGCAATTGAACATTTTGGACATTCAGGAATCACTTTACTAACTGTTAGTTCTCTTGCATCAGCTGACAACTATCTTTGAAGAGAAACCATATTTGATGCATAGACCATGAAAGAAATGTCAGTGTTCACAAATGACTGGCTAGAGGACAGTGCAAGAACGTATGTGGGACAGGAGTAGTTGTATGCAAGCAACACTACACAAATTTCAAGACGTGATAAAGACTGAATCCTTAGGAATAAGTCATGACCTTGTTTTCTTAGAATGATAACAGCAACAGTACAAACCCACATGATTTCAAAGCAGATCAGTTTTTTCACAAACACAGAGGACATTTATAGTGCAACCGTAGGCGTTTCTATGGGAATTAAGCCCTACTTGTATGGAGCTTATTCCCAAGTAAAAATATATGTAGAACTATAGCCTCCATTTCATAACATTTTTGGAGTTTTGCACAGGGGGAAAAAAACAACACAGTAAATTTTGTCAACCTGTAAACAATTCAATCAGGAACGAGTTTAAATCAATCCTATTAAAACGTGTAGCAGTGTCCTTGGAAATGTCTTTTTTAAAAATTTGACAAAAAAGAATGAAAATAATATAGAATCATAGAATATGCAGCAAATACACCAACCTAACAAGGCCTGTGTTTCTCTGATTCATTGGAATGGACGGGACTGAATTCGACATGCAAAGGAAGGCAACTGGAATTGTCATATTTAAAGAAAAAGAATGGAATACATATAGGCCTACTGAGTAAACCGGAAATCACCAAGGCTAGCCCTTGTCTCAAATACACTTAAGGCTTACATCGACATCTCTATCAACAGATGAAATACATCATGCGGCTTGTGTATGGAAAGGGCAGCTGGGAACCTCTTTAAGCCTTTTTGGGATGCCTCCAGTACTATCTTCCACTCATGGATTTGCACACAAACGCCACCCCCATATAGCACTCCATTTTCTGGCAACCTGCTCTAGAAACTTGGCAGAGGAGGCTATACCTCACCAGCTGAAGCAAGGGAGAACAAGGAGGCGTTTCACTGCACAAGATGATGAGAAATCATGTAATCTTGGATGGAGCCATCTGGACTATTGGCCTTACACAGATATACCTCCGTTAACCAAGTAGACGTGCTCCTCGGCATTACTCTTCAATAGAAAGCTTGGGACCAGAGGCAGAAAAAAAGGGATTGAATCATCACAACAAATGAGAAATTTAACAAGTTTCAGGAGGTGGGGGGGGGGGGGGGGGATTCAAACAACATGGACAGGTGGAATGAAACACATCAGGCAATAAGAAATAAACATGTTTTGAACCTTCTGGAGATCTCTTGACAACTTCTTCCAAATGCATCCACTAATTATTTTTACATTTTCACTACATTTTAAATGACTAGCAGGTGCTTAAGTTTAATTCTAGTAGAAGAAACTGGCAAAACTACCTCTTGAGTATTCCTTACCTAAAAACAATCTATGAACCTCACTACTTCTGAGGATGCTTGCCATAGATGCAGGCGAAACGTCAGGAGAGAATGCCTCTAGAACATGGCCATATAGCCCGAAAAAACCTACAACAACCCAGTGATTTTGGCCATGAAAGCCTTCGACAATAAATCTATGAAATTCATGGGGTTTCCATAACTCTGAAGGCACATGCATGCTGGGAGAAGGAATTACGTGAGCACTTGCATTGGAAGGTTTTGGGCAGGCATGGGCAAACTTGGGCCCTCCTGGTGTTTTGGACTTCAACTCCCACCATTCCTAACAACCTCAGGCCCTTTCCTTTCCCCCCTCAGCCGCTTAAGCATCCGGATGCCCAGATGTTTGATGTTTTACCATCCTTGTGGGAGGCCCCTTTCATGTCCCCGCATTGGGAGCTGGAGCTGACAGAGGGAGCTCAACCCACTCTCCCCGGATTTGAACCACTGACCTGTCAGTCAGCAGTCCTGCCAACACAAGAGTTTAACCCATTGCGCCACCGGGATAGATGTATTTCTTCACTAACCTTAAAAGGAAACTAGCACTTCTAATGAACTGCTTGGTTCTGGAAGTTTATAGGAATGTACCTTATTCATTCATGACAGTGGAACATGCTGCTTTGGAGTGTGACGAGGTCTCTTTCTCTGGAGATTTCTAAACAGACACATCTTTTAGGAGTGCTTAAATTGTGTATTCCTGCACTGAAGGAATGGATGGCCCCTGGAGTCTCTTCCTACTCTGTGTGTATGATTTCAGATCTGGATGTTTTGTATTTAAAGTGCAAATTAAGTCGCCACTCTAAGGCCAACTGTGATCAAACACGTCTCTAACTAAATTGCCCCAGCATCTATAGATGAAGAGCAGCCCATTCAGAGTCCTTGGTTGCAAGCACTGAGCATTATGCAAGAAGGATGGGTGCTACTATTGGAAATCAAGACTCAAGCTATTGGGATGTTCAGTGCTGTTTTAATAAGGTAGGAATATGACATCTGGAAGCAATATTGAGGCACGAACACTGCTGGGTAGGAAATGGAACAGTCTATAAGCGTCTCTTGTAGAATATCTTACACCAAGTCTGAACAATGCGACACTGCCAATGTAAATCTTGACTCATGTGTCGGGCACAATAACCTTCAAAGAGGAGCCTCAAACAACCTGCTCATCACTTTTGTTTTTGTTTTTATGCTTGCCTTGTGGATAACTTACCTATTAGACCAGCCAATATGACTGGTAGATTTTTTTTTTAATTTAAGGGAGAAATGGGGACCCTATAGCTCTTTTAAGCATTTTTGGGCTGCAATGCCCATAATCCTGTGCACCATTTGCAATACTGCTGAGAGATAGTGGGAGCAGCAATTTGACATAATTGGCTTAATGGTTCCTATGCTTCATGGGTCCTATGGAGATGAGACTATTAGGCGTCCAACACCATTAAGCTCCTTCAATGTCCATATCTGATTTCGCCCCCCCCCCCCAAGCTCATGCAAATAATTCAAAATTATTACAGACTAATGAGGACTGTTTAGGGGTCTGGAGGGATTTGAATGACACATTTATTTTAAAAAGTGGGGTGGATACATCCGTCCATGKTGTCAAAAGCTTCCAACCCATCTTTTAAAATCTCTACCACATCATTCTTGGCTTTGCTGTTGCTTTATAATAGTCAATAACGTCTTCTAATTCACTGAACAGGATGGACTGCTGTTGGAACAAAAATCTACAAACTTGGAGTTGCTTCCTGAAATACGTAGCATGCACATAAATTGCATTGGTTAGACACAATTTTATAACATGGCCTTATTTACTTTCATTTCTCCTGCTGGAGGCCATGCTTTAGGTTTCGAACCCAACAAGGTTTTGGTCACCTCTTTGCTTCCTTGACTAAGTTCATCTAAGACACCAGTTACCTCCTCTTCAAGTCACCACCACGTCTAGATAAGTATGAGACAACCAAAGGGTGGTAAAGAATGCGCGTTTGGATTCATCTGTGGAAAATTCATTGGGGAGCAG